AGGAGGCCGACCTGAGAGATGGGGCTCTGGCTTGTTGGGGCTGGTTTTCTGGTGAGACAGAGGAAAAGGTGCAGAGTTGGCTGCAGAGACAGACTGGGCACCTGGCAAGGCCTGGGAGAGTCCGAGGGAGGGTGAGACAGCCAGGCCTGAGCCCAGGCCAGGTACTGTTGGAATGGCCCAGAGACAAACACGGTCCCAAAGTTGCAAAGCCGGGAGGCGAGGGGCTGGCGCCTGGTCGGAGGAGGCGGGAGGAGAATGTGCTGAGGGAATGGGTCAGCTTGCCAGAGATGGGAGGGGTGCTGCCAAAGTCAGGGCGGGCTGGGTTAGGGGGCTGGTTAGGAGAGAGCCAGGGAGACCTCAGGCGGGGGCCGAGAGGAGACAAGAATGCGGAGAGCACTGCAGGGAGAGGATGAGCAGAGACAGTGAGCCAGAGACAAGGGGTGGCCAGGAAGCCGGAGGGGAGCAGAGAGGGGAAGACTTAGAGAGGCAGGTGGAGGGACTCAAATGGAGTCGGAGGAGGGAGTCTGCAAACAGAGCCAGGCCCAGGGAGAGGCGGAGGAGGGAGCCAGGGAGGAGCAGCAGGGGACCAGGTGGAAGGAGAAGGGGCAGCTGCAGGCACAGCCAAGCTAGAGGGCAGTAGAGGGCTGGGGGCGTGGGGAGCCCTCAAGCGGAGCCGACCCTGCACCTCCATCCCCTTTGGAGGCTGGCTGCCTGACCAGCGGGGTGGGGCCCCACTCCAGCTCTTCCCGCAGCTGCACTGGGACTTGGGAACACTAACATCCTACCCCCAGGGACCTGGGGGGGAGGGGGGTCTGCCTGTGTTTACACTGGATGTGCTCCCAAGGATTCTGCTGTTGGGGCTGCATCAGCTGTCTTGGGAGGCCGGTAGGTGGAGCCTCCTGATCCCAGACCTTCTGGAACCTGGGGTGGGACTAACCCTGGCCTGACCCCCTTCACTCCACTCGCGGTGGGGGAGGACGGCCTCAGGGACCCTGTCTGTTAGCCATAGCAGTTGATTATCTGTCCAGTGCTGATTTCCTCCCCCTCAGTTTGAATAATAGAGCCTATGGAACCAGCTGGAGGAAGACAATGTGGAGGAAGTGGGGAGTACAAACGGGTAAAAGCTAGAGTGGGAAATGCCAGCCACGGGCTGGGGCCAGGGGCTCCTCCCCCAGGGCTGGAGAGAGGGATCCAGGCCCCTGGGCTCTCCCGGCTCAGCTAGCTACTCCCAGGGGTGCAGAGATTCTCCATAGGGGGTGACAGTGCCCCTCCTGGGGTTGTTGGAAATCTCGGAGGGTACAATTTTGGTTGCTATGTGCATTAGTCTGGGTCCAGTCAGGAGGGAAAGCACACAGCAATGGGAACAGGGAAAGTTGAATATTGAAGTGACAAGGGGGTCACTGATAAGGTGCCTTGGAATTTACTGGAAATCACCTCTGGGGTGTGGTGGAGTCATTTACAGGAGGTGCTGAACAGAACTCCTGTTCCCTTACATAACAATGGGAACAGGGATAGTTGAACTGGCCCTGGCTCAGCTGTTGAGCATCGACCTAGGATCCAGGAGATAACGGTTCAATTCCCCTGCAGGACACATGCCCGGGTTTCAGGCTCGATCCCCAGCAGGGGGCGTGCAGGAGGCAATCGATCAATGACTCTCTTTCATCATTGATGTTTCTCTCTCTCTCCCTCTCCTTTCCTCTCTCTGAAATCAATGAAGATATATATATATTTTTTAAAAGTGCCTTAAGAGGTGCCTTCTTGTGGAAGAGTTGGGGGGAAGATGTGCAACCCAGCCCAGCATCCCTGCCCCCCTAAGCCTTTGGATTCCTTCTGGCTTCTTGCCTCATTAACTGTAGGCCTCTGTTGAGGCCATGTCACCCAACCAAGACAGCTGTTAGAACCACCCCCAGCTGCATAAGCCAATCACTAAATCCAGAATCTCCAGTACATTCCCTTGTACCAGTGAACTTGGCCTGATCCAGCTTACATCCACCCTCACCGGTCTCACACCCCAGGTCTACTCCTGCACGGGTTCCCCAGGTTTCTGACTACAAGTATTTTAGTGCACAAGCTGTTGCCTCCTGGGTCATAGTGAGCACCTGCCCCCTGGGCGCTGTGATTTGGCTCCAGGTGTTTATGGGTCTAGTGACAGCAGGGGTGCTTGTGATGCTCCTAAGAGTGGACACTCTCAAGGCATCCACCCCATCACATCTTAGGGGTTTTGAGCACAGGAAGGCTGGTAGTCTCCGACGCTACTAAGGAGGCTGAGTGACATGGGGGTCCGAGACAGTGTTTCTTTTGGTCCAACCAGACATCCCCATTCCAAATGTCATGATCTCTCTCTACACCAGTCCGCGCCCTCACTCACATAAGGCTGGAATTCAACCACCAACCTACAGACTGAACTGCTGTGTTGTTTCCAGTACTATCAGCCCTGGGGCTACAAGAACTTTTGGGGGCTGTCACAGAAGTGCTCCAGTTCTCAGACCATGACTGGAGCTGAGGCAGCAGACCCAAGCTTGTCTTTGTCTATCTGTAAGCACTCAAGGGCACTGCAGAGGATCCGTCCAACGCCTATCTTTAGAATGGTCATTACTGCCACAGCAGTCAAGTGCTGCAGCCAGAGGGGCTCCCGGGGCACGCGCTTCAGCTGGCACCTCATGGCAATAAACCCGTGATGGCCTGACTGTGAGGCGGCCGCATACCGTGGATTTCTGGCAGCTCAGCCCCAATCCCCTCTCTCTGAGCCTACCTCCTGGAACACTCTGGACACCAATGCTGTATCAGTTTGGATCCAATCCGGAGGGGAAAAAACACACAGTAATTTGAACAGGGCAAGTTTAATATAAAGAATTAATAACTTTAACAGTGAATTGAAGTGACAAGGGGGTCACTGGTAAAGTGCCTTGGAATTTACTGGGAATCACCTCTGGGGTGTGGTGGTGATTCACAGGAGGTGCTGCAGTGGAAGCACTCCTCTAGGAAACTGCTAGGTGGGGCGGGGTGGGGCAGGGTGCCAGGGGAGGCTGCTGACCCCCTGGCGATGGAGAAGCCACCAGGGAGACAGGAGCCGCACACCTGAACAGGAACCAGGAACCAGGAAGTAAAAGCCTTGCCTCCGGCAAAGTCTCTCGAGCGCCTCCTACTGACAGGCTTATGCCAGTTAGCAAAGGAAAGTATTTCAAAGGCCCAGATCAGTTTTTACAGTGCAGATAAGTTGAATTTGGAGCTGAGTCAAATCGATAAGCCGGAACACCACAGGACTTGGGCGCTACTGGCATTTAGTGAGTGTGGGCCAGAGATGCTGTACCCTGCCTGCGGGGAGCTGACTAGTCCCACATGGAAGAACCATCCCTCTGGAACGCCAGGAGCACCTCCTATATCAGTAGGGTCCCGGGAGGAAACAGAAGCACACCTAAATGAGGTTAACTTGAGAACAGTCTCTTGACATTAGTGGGCAAGGTGCGGTGGCCACAAGGGAGAAGGCAGCTCCCTGGGGCTACTTGCAGCCAGGAGTCTTTACCTGCCCCTGGCTTGGAGAGGCAGGAGGAGGTTACTAGAACTTGAAGTGTGTGGCAAGGGCTCCGTGACAGGCTGACAGGAGCTGTGACCTTCAGTCTAGAGTGCAGCCAGCTAAGGCACCCATGAGGTGGGGACCACATGCTCTCCTTCCCCGATCTGCCAATGCCACACCCCTCATCCCACCCCAGCCCCCAGAATGAGAAAGCCCAACTGGAAGCCAGAAGTAGAACCGTCAGGCACTCAACACAGCCCCGCTGAGATCCAGCTGGATGGGGACAGGGCGTGACTAGGCAGGGGCGGGGCTGGCTGTGTCCTGAGACTGCTCCCGCAGCCCCGACTTCAGGCCCTGGGCCCACTCGGTCCCCAGAACCTCGCAGTTGGGTAGCATCTCCTCCACCAAGATCTGAGTGAGGCCTGGGTTGGACACGGCAGGGAGGTCTGAGATGTCCAGCCTGCGGAGGTTCCTGAGAGGAAGCAAGAAGGGAGGAGGCCCGTATAAGGACAGCATCTGTATAAGTGTATGGAGGGGGTGTGCCAGCCCCCATTCCAGCCCTAGCTTCTTAAATAAAAATCTTTAACTGTCCAGAGAATGTTAGAGCTGTCCAAGTCCACGAAATCCACCGTGTTAATTAAAACTAGGGAGTCCTTTAATTCCCCCTGAGACTCACTGCCACTGCTCACTTTAGGTTTGTCATGGAGACAGGGAACTGCCTGACACGGCCCCCTCCCCACTTTCCTGTATGTGAGCTGGGTGGGAGCCCCTGCCCTGGCTCGGGGCCCAGGCTGAGCTGAGGTCTCACTGGAGGTGGTGGAGGCAGGCAAGGCCCCGTTCGGAGATTCGGGGGCAACCAGCCAGCGAGAGCTCCTGCAATGAGTTGGCCAGCTGGTGGAGGCGGCTGAGACACCAGTCATCCACATGGGGACAGCGCTGCAGAGACAGGGACTGCAGCTCCTTCAGGGCCACTGCAGGGGGGAGAGGGCATATGGCACCAAGGGCCCTTCTGGAGCCCACCGTGAAGGGAAAATGCAGAGCCCTACCCATCTCTACCCCACCCACCGCACTCACAGAGGTTGTCCAGGCCTTCATAGTTGATGGCACAGCCACTGGCATCCACAGCCTCTACAGGTACTGCCTGGAAATCCAACAACTGGAGAAAGGAGTGGCCACGCCCAGGGGACCGAATCCACTCTTTGCCCTGGAACCTGGAAAGGAGGGAGAGAGGGAATGTCAGTGGGTACCCTGTGTGTCCCCACGCCTCCAGCCTCCGGAGACCACTCCCCTGCCCCGTATAATACAATGATGGTACCATGTCTGCACTAGTTCTACGGCCCTGTTGTCAGGGGTACACGTGCTGGTCTCATTGGATCTCCTGATAGACCCATCAGAGACGGAATGTTTGGCCAGTGTTACATACCGGAAGCTGAGCGCTGAAGACATGACTGATAACAGAAGAGAACAGAGCTGCAACACAAGAACCTTTGCACATGGCAAAAGTTGAGATGTTTTCGGACACGCACACTGTTTCTAAGGGAGGTGCTGGGGGCAATGCTCAGAGCAAGTAAAAGCTTTAATTAGAACAAAGATGAGAGGTAGGTGAAGTCTACGTGAGTTCTGCTTTTCAAAGAGAAGGAAAAGGGGAAAAAACCCAAACATTGGAGGAGGGAGGAAGAGGGAAGGAGACGAGAAAAGAAACTAGTGTTTACGGAGCATGTGTGCCATGCCGGGCCTCCCTACAAGCGTTTCCACTGCAAAATGTGTTTGTAGGTTAGACACAGCTACCACTCCACTTTACAGATGACAGAAACGGAAGCTTGAGATCAAGCCCCAGCCACACAGCCAGCAGGGGGCAGACTGGGGAACTCCAGGAAGCCTGCCCCACTGAGGAGCCTAAGGCCTAGAGAACGGATCTTTGGCCTCCCCCCACCCGTTCTGACCCCTTTGCTGTCATACTTGACTGCGCCTCCCTGCCTCAGGATGAAATAGGCTCCTGCGACGTATGGGCCGTATCTCTCCTTCATGTGGGTGAAGGACCTGCAGAGAGAACAGTAGCTGAGGCTGAGGCCTGGGGACCACCAACCCCTCGCCATGCCCGGTGCTGCTGGGAGGGTCAGAGTCCACAGTATCAGGACTGACAGGCACACAGACAGACAAAGTCAGGCTGCAAATATTTACTGAGTGCCTATTAAGTGCTGGGCACAGGGGGGCAGTGGTGACCAACGCATATAACTGTCCTTGCCCTTCAGATGTTAATTTACAGGGAGAAACAATAATAAACCAGGAAATAAGAGCGAACTGCAGACTATCAATTCCAGGATTAAAACAGAACATAGGGACTGACTAGGAGTGTCTGGGGTTGGGTGGGGATGGAGGAGGCTAATTTAGTTTGGCTGATAAGAAATGCTTCTTGGGGAGGTGACACTTCTGCAGAGATCTGAGTGGGAAAGACTGCAGAAGTCAAGGCAAGACCCTGCCAGGCCAAGGGAACAGCCAGTGCAAGGCTCAGAGGCTCAAATTAGGACAGTGGAACTAACAGCAATAAAGACGCCATGTTGCAGGGGTGAGGGGAGTCCCTGGTAGGCATCTCAAAGCTCAGTAGGTACCAGGTTTTAGATTTTGGAGTTTGGCCTTCATTCTAGTTGCAATTGGAAACCATTTCAGGGTTTCAAGCAAAGTGGTAATGTTCTCTATTTTACTTTCTTAACAGTCCTTTGGCTGCTTTGGCCTATTAATAGTCTGTAGGGGGCATATGGTGACCAGCTAGATTACTGCAGTAATCCAACCATAAAATGAAGGGGTTCTGCTCTGGCTACAATGAAGGAGGCGAGAACTGATCAGATTTGGGATATTCTAGTATTTTATTGATGGACTGGATGTAGAAGGCAGAGAAGCAAAGAGAGGAATCAGGGATGACTCCTTAGAATCTGGCCTGAACAACTGGGTGGGCAGTGGTGCTGTTTACTGGGATGGGGGAGGTTTGGAGGTGAGCAGACTTTTTAGGGGGAAATCAAGGGTGTGCTGTTAACCATGTTAAGTCTGAGGTGCCAGCTAGGCCAAGAGGAGCTAGTGGGCAGCGGGCTGCCTACATGAACTGGAGTCCTTGGGAAGGGTATGAGCCATAGACAAAGATACAAGTTGGCACGGCTAGTATTGGAAGCCACAGGGCCACCTGGCAGTGGCAAGGGCAGGATCTGGGTTCTGACCAGTGAGGCCAGAGCAGTAGGGTCTTGCAGGCCGGGGTTCTCACCGATTTTCCTTGTGCACTTTTGACATCTGCTTTTGGAGCAGGTACTCCCTCAGGGCTTCCACGTCATAGAATCGGTCAGTAAGGAACTTGAGCAGCATCCTCCCCTTCCTCTGATTGCCCTCTGGGGCCACTGTATTGCTCAGACCACGGATGCCCCTGGTACCCCTATTCCATATTGGGGCCACCAGATGCAGGGACTGGGGAGGAAGAGAGGAGAGGTTGAGCCTGGAGAGCCTCCTGTGAGACAGAGCTGGACCCCTCTGTTCTGTTCTTGGTCCATGAACACCCCCCCACCCCCACATGCTTCCTGATTCACTAAATTCTCCTTTCAGAACTTCCAAATTCTGCATTTGGGACTCCCAAGTTTCCCTCCATGTTTTCCACAAGTTCTTCCTCTTAATCAACCCTAAATAGTCTCTTTGATTTAGCCAGACATTCTTGGTTTTCCCAAATTCTCCTCCTATCTCCCCCCAAATGCTTATTTTCTCTCAAAACCTCCATTATCTGACTTCTTAATTTCCTACAAATTCTCCCCTTAATTTTACCCAATTATCCCTGGAGTCTTTCTGAGTAACCAGTTTCTTTCCCTAAAATGTAATCTTAGTCGTTTCCAAACCACCCTTAAACTCTCCTTTCAACTTCTCCTCAAAGTCTTCTCTTAGCCTGCCCCCAATTTCCCGTTTCCCCCCAAAACTTTGCCCAAATCTTTATTTTCCCTCAAAATTCCTCAGAAGTTCCCAACCTCTTCCCCTAAATTCATTCTTCATTTTACCCACTTTCTAAATTCTCTCCACAAATACTGCAAATTCTCCCCAGGAGCTCCCCCACCTCTTGGCTCCCCCACCCCACCATCGTGCCTTTGGTTTTCCATCAAAATTCCTAACTCTCCCATGAGTTTCCTTCACCTGCATTCCTTGGAGTCCTTCCCTTGGCCTCTGCCTGTCCCTTCCAAACCCTCCATCCCTGCAGGTCCCACTCTCACTCTCTTTTTCCCTTTTTATTCTTTTTTCTCTTTTTGGTTAATCCTCACCCGAGCATATTTTTTCCCCTAGAGAGAGTGGGAGGGAGGGAGGGAGGGATTGGTTGCCTCCAGCGGGGGTCGAATCAGCAACCCGGGTACGTGCCCCGCCGAGCATCGAACCCGCGGGGCCGTGGCCTTTACTACGGATCCACACCGGCCAGGGCACGGGTTCCACGCCCCAGCCCGTCGACTCCCTCGTCCCTCCCTCTGATTGGCTGGGTGCGCCATCACCGAAGGCGCTCCTTGCTTCTACATTGGCTTCTCTCTGCCAAGTCCCCGCCCCCTCTTCCTCTCGGAAGCTCCACAGCAGCCTGCGACCCGCACTCGTCCTTCCTGGCCCCCCAAAGCCGCATGTCTACACGGGCAGCGCGAGGCCTAGCCGGGGGCGTCCTGCTGCCCCGCGCTCCTTGCTTCCTGGGCACAGACAGAGGCCTTGAAGGCAGAGGCAGCAGAACGGACTTCAATTTCGGGGCTCTAGAAACTCCGACCACCTACCGCCCTGGGCGCCGCCATCTTGCTGAGATTACGTCACCGGAAGGGGCCGGTCCTTTCTTATCCACCCACCTGGCTCTGTGTTTAACATGTTGTTTTATAGGGTCACGCGCTCCTCTTAAAGGCGCACGCGCTGTTTAGCTTGGGTTTGGGGATTGCTCTGAGCTTCCCCTCCGTAGACTTTATGATGGGACTCCAGCCTGTCCCCAGGGGAGGGTGGGCAGGCCTTCCTGTTAGAGCACCTCCCCTTCCTCTGACTGGGTCAGGGCTCGCTCGCCGCCGTCTTACAGCGGGGAACCGTGTGCCTAAAGAGCTGACCAGCGTTCTTTTTTTCCAAGGGAAAATGGTCGAGTGGGTGGTGAGATGGAGGTGAGATCTCAAGATTAGCATTGTGGCCCGGCCAGGAGTGGCTCAGCAGTTGAGCATCGACCTAGGATCCAGGAGATCGCCGTTGGATTCCCGGTCAGGGCGCAGGCCCGGGTTGTGGGCTGGATCCCCAGCAGGGGGCGTGCAGGAGGCAGCCGATCAATGACTCATCATTGATGTTTCAACTCTCTTTCCCCCTCTCCTTTCCTCTCTCTGAAATTAATAAAGATATATTTTTTAAAAAGATTAGCATTGTGATGTGTTTGTGATTTCAGTTTGGAGCTCAGAGTGAAGATTTGATGTGAAGTCTTGTGGATAGAATTATTCATCCATTCATTCCACAAATATTTACTGAGCATGTACCATGGGGCAGGCCCTGCTCTGGGCGCTGAGGTTACCACGGAGAACCGGACATACCCAGCCTCTCTCAGGGAGTCAACATTCCCGGCAAAGAGAGGATGGATAAGAAACACATGAGTAAGCAAGATAATTTCAGATAATGTTTGATAAGAGGCAAATAAAAACAGGTAATATAATAGGGAGTGACTGTGGTATGGGGCCATCGGCAAAAGCCTCTCTGAAGAGGTACCTTTAAGTGGAAGATAAGAAGGAAACAGCCATTCAGAAATCTGGGAGGAAAGTGTTCCAGGCAGAGTAGTAGCCTGTGCAAAGGCCCTGAGGTGGGAACCGTCTTGAAGAGAGAGGTAGAAGACCAGGTCAGGCAGGTGGGCAGGGAGCTGACTGTGCAGGCCTGGTAGGGTTTTATTCCATTCTCAGGACAGTGTCGTCGATGATTTACATTTTGTAAAGATCATTTCTGCCAGGCTGGAAACAGATTTCAGAGGGCAAGGGTGGTGGTGGGGGCAGCAAAGAGGCTACTATACTCTTCCAAACCAGAGATGAATGGAGACAGGAGCAGGGATGGGGCACCGGAAATGGTGAGAAGTGCTCAGATTATGAGTCTGTTTTGGAGGTTGAGCCAACAGCTTCTGACCTCTAGAACTGTAAGAATAACTTTGTGTTGTTTTAAGCCACTAAGTTTGTGGTGATTTGTTACAGCACAGCAACACCAGGAAACTCATACAGTGGGGTAGGTCCCAATTGAGAATTCTGTTTTGACAATATTCACCTTGAGACATCCAGGTGGAGATGCTGAGAGGGGTCTGAAGCTCAGGAGGGAGGTCGGGACTGGAGCCAGGGACTTTGGAGCCATTGACATGTCGAAGGAATTTGAACATCCTGGGCCCGACAGAGGGGCTCTAGCAGAGGGAGGCCTGCAGTGTGTTCCAACCTTTTCCCTGGCAGGGCCCAGCACTGACAGTGATAATACCTAGAGTCAGCAGAATTGGCTGCTCAGTGAAAGCCAGCAGCCTGGATACTAAGGCAGCCTAGCTGAGGGATCATTCTCTTGGAAGCCACTCCTGGCTTCTCAGGCACACTGGTTGGGAAGCCCTGGATGGCTTGAGTGGAGAAAGGCAAGAACCAAGCTGGGGTTTAAGGATGAATGGTGGGAGGGACCCAGGAGAGAGACAGGCAGGATGAGGCCAGGCATCAGTAGATACCAAACACAGGGAGGGGTTAGGCCTGGGAAGAGGCAGGGAGGGGTAGAGTTGGATCTTTGTACGCAGAGTTAAAGTTAGACTTCAGAAAGAAAAAATATGCTGATTCTCACTGAAGAATGGACTTTGGGATGCTATGTATGACCCTCCCATCACCCTTCCACTGCCCTTTACTCCCCCACCCCCCAGGTCCCCAGGGGCCTGGGTCATTCTGGACCTTGCTACTTCCTGCTGCTGGCAGCCACTGTTCAGAGACTATGGAGCTGTGGAAGCAGCTGAGGGAGGCTGGACTGGTGCCTCCAGGGCTGGGTCCACCCCCCAGGGCCCTGAGGGATGTCCCCCCATCAGGGAGAGCTGACCAGACCCTCATGTCCCCAGGGGCAGACCCTGAAGGTGCCAAGGAGACTCTGCTGTTGATCTGGGAGGAACTGGTGAGTGAGGAATTTGGAGGGCAGGAGATAGAGTAGGGGTGGAGGGAGAATTAAATGAATGAATGAATAATGAATGAATGAATGGCAGTGTATGAAAATAGAAAGGGCCAGAGATTGAAAGACAGAAATTGAGAGACAAGAATAGAGAAATAAAGACAGAGACCCACAGAGAGACCCAGAAAGAGAGACAGAGGTTGAGGACAGCAACAGAGAAAGAGAGACTCAGGTTAACACTTAGAGAAAGAGAGATGGAGACAAAGGCAGAGAAATACAGACACAGAGAAAGACAGATATGAAAAGACAGAGACAGAGACAGGTGGAAACAGAGATAGATAACAAGAAAGGGAAACGAGAGACAAAGAGGCTGAGTCAGACATACAGAGACAGGCAGAGACAATGAAATGGAGAGACAGTGACAGAGACCAGGAGACACTGTGAAGCCCAGCTGGCATGAGCATCGACCTACGATCTAGGAGATCGAGGTTTGATTCCCGGTCAGGGCTCAGGCCCTGGTTGCGGGTTCGATCCTGAAAATCGGAAATCGTGCAGGAGGCAGCCAATCAATGACTTTCTCATCATTGATGTCTCTCTCTCTCTCTCTTTCTCTCCCTTCTTCTCTCTGAAATCAACAAAGACATATTTAAAAAAAAAAAAGACACTGAGAAGCAGAATGGCAGTTAGGGTCCAGGGACACAGCGAGGACCTGCCCAAGAACACATTCCAGGTAGTAAGGTGATGGGGACAGGGAGCACTGTGATGGGAGTTGCAGCAGAGGAGAGAGATCAGGCTCGACTCCGAATACAGCTCGGGCGAGTGGGCATTTCCAGCCGGGTAGCAGCTGGGGGTCGGCGGGTAGAAAATTACATCAGCCGGAGGCGGGCACTTTGGGTAAGCTGACTGAGCAGGTCTGCTGGAGACTGGCCCGGGGACGGACACCAC